ATTTCGCAGAATCTTTCTCTCGAAAACTCCAAGAGCCGCCTCATCAGATGCTTTCATTGTCCATGCCTCCGCGCCATACACCAGCACAGGCATGATGAGTGACTTATAGAGTGTGATCTCTGTACGACGAGAGAGGACTTTACTTCTCAATTGCCTACTCAGCCCAAAGTAGCACTTGTTGGCAAGAGTGATTCTCCGTTGGATTTCAAGGCTGACATTATTATTGGTGTTAATGCTGGTTCCCAAATAAACGAAGTCGTCTACTTTTTCAAACTTGTAACTGTCAACAGAGACGTGGGTGCCAAGACGCGTATGCTCTGACTGTTTGTGTGATGACAGGAGATGCTTCGTTTAGTCCTCGTTCACCACCAGACCCATTCGCTTTGCTTCTCTATCCAATCCCGAGAAGGCAGACAGACGTAGCCCTTGTTTTTACCGATAATGTCGATGTCGTCGGCATACGCCAGCAATTGTACGCTCTTGTAAAGTATTGTGCCTGAACGGTTCAGTTCTGCGGCTCTTATTATCTTCTCCAACATCAGATTAAAGAAATCACACGAAAGGGAGTCCCCTTGTCTGAAACCTCGTTTGGTATCAAACGGCTCGGAGAGGTCCTTCCCTATCCTGACGGAGCTGGTGGTATTGCTCAACGTCATTTTACACAGCCTTATTAGTTTCGCGGGGATACCAAATTCAGACATTGCGGCATAAAGGCAACTTCTCTTCGTGCTGTCGAAAGCGGCTTTGAAATCAACAAATAGATGGTGTGTGTCGATCCTATTCTCGCGGGTCTTTTCCAAGATGTGGCGTATTATGAATACCTGATCTATGATGGATTTTTCAGGCCTAAAGCCACACTGATATGGTCCAATCAGCTCGTTGACGGTGGGCTTCAGTCTTTCGCACAATACACTCGATATAACCTATATGCTTAGAAGGCTGATTCCGCGGTAGTTGGCACGTATGGCGGGGTCGCCTTTCTTGTGGATTGGGCAGAGCACACTTAAATTCCAGTCGTCGGGCATGCGTTCATCTGACCATATTCTGTATACGAGCTGCTGCATGCACCTCATCAGCTCCTCGCGGCCGTACTTGAATAGCTCGGCTGGCAGGCCGTCAGCTGCAGCAGCTTTGTTGTTTTTCAGCCGCGTAATCGCTATTCGTACCTCGTCATAGTCAGGCGGTGGGACAGCTACTCCATCAACATCGACTGGGGACTCGGGTTCGTCAAGTAGTAAAAGTGTTCCCTCCACAATTTAAGTATATTCTGGACATCGGTCACTAGGTCGCCATTGTTGTTCTTACAGGAGTTCGCCACGGTCTTGAAACCTTCCGTAAGTCGCCTAACCCTCTGGTAGAATTTCCGGGCGTTCTTCCTGTCGGCCAGCATCTCAAGCTCTTCGCACTCACGTATTTCGGCCTCTCTCTTTTTATTGCGGCAAATACGTCTCGCTTCCTTCTTCAGTTCCCAATAACGGTCCCACATGGCTCGCGTCCTTGTAGGCGGCATCTTTTTTCTCTCTTTTTTCTTGAAATCCTTATCGTACTAGTTGTTCTTTCGGGCTCGCTGAAATTCAACTACTTCTTCGGCGGCGGTACTTAATGATCGATCAATGTGGTTCCACTGCTCGCGTATGTCGGATTGTTGAAGAGTGCTCTCAGAGAGCAGGTGTGTGAGTCGAGTGGCGAATAAATTGGCCGTCTGTTGTGATTGCAGCTTTTCGACGTTAAGCTTTAATTGCATTGTTGGGCGCACATTTTTTGCTGCACAGAGGCGGGTGCGTATCTTGGCTACAACAAGATAGTGGTCCGAGTCGATGTTTGGCCCTCGGAGTGTACGTACGTCCAAAACGCTTGAAGCATGCCTTCCGTCTATCACAACATGATCGATTTGGTTTCTCGTTTTTCGATCTGGAGACAGCCATGTAGCTTGGTGGATGTTCTTATGCTGGAACTTAGTACTACATATTACCATGTTTCGGGCCCCGGCGAAGTCGATCAGCCTCAGTCCGTTATCGGACGTTTCGTCGTGGAGGCTGAATTTTCCGACAGTGGCGCCAAAGATCCCTTCCTTGCCCACCTTGGCACTAAAATCGCCAAGCACGATTTTTACATCGTGTCGGGGGCAGAGCTCATATGTACGTTCTAAGCGCTCATAGAAGAGATCCTTGGACGCCTCATCCTTCTCTTCCGTCGGGGCATGGGCGCAGATGAGCGAGATGTTGAAGAATCTAGCTTTGATGCGGATTGTGGCTAGACGTTCGTCCACCGGGGTGAACGCCAGTACTCGGCGACGGAGTCTCTCTCCTACCACGAATCCAACACCGAATTTGCGCTCCTTTACGTGGCAACTGTAGTAGACGTCGCAAGGCTTCACGCTTACTTTTCCTTGCCTTGTCCATCGCATTTCTTGGATGATGTTGATGTCAGCCTTTGTCTTCCCGAGGACATCAACCAGCCGGGCAGAGGCACCTTCCCCATTAAGGGTCCGGATATTCCAGGTGCATACCCTTAAATCATAGTCCTTTATACGTTTGCCGTGGTCGTCATCAGAAAAAGGGGGTCTCATCCGAGGCTGTTTGGTTCTTTTCATTGGGCGGGGTTTTAACGTGGCGGGACCCAAACCCAGCGCACGCGAAGTTTTACGCCTTCTCACTTTAGCTCGCTCCCAAACGGGTGTTTGGTTGCTACCCAGAGGATACGTGGATATAAATATCCGGACGTTGTGAGCTGCGATTTGAACCGTACGCACAAGAATCGCTTCTCGCCCCTCAGGTGAATGGCAGTCAAAAGTGTTCCACTTCTGCGCACGGAATCATGAATGAACCAAAAAATGAAATACCCACAGTCCGGCCAATTCTCCACAGCATTACGATTTTTGGGAGCACCATAAGCATTTGGCAGTGGGACAGAAAGGAAGAGAGCTAATATTAGTCAGTCTGATGAAGTGACAATGTATTTATCTGCACCTATATCATCTATAAAAAGCAACCCTTAGAAGAGTGGGAGGATTCAAAATCAATAGTTGTCGCATCGTCAGTTCCTTGTGAACGATTGTTCTCTAAAGCGGGAGCCACAATAACACAAGACCGAAATCGTCTCTCCAGCAAGCACCTTGAACAACTTTTGTTTTTAGGCAACATGCCACAGAATGTATTTTTTAATTAATATTTAAATGTTTTTTTTTTCATGTAAATATATAAATTAATTTAAGAAGCAAACTAGATACCTACACATGTGAGGTTTAAGCTCGCTAACTTGTTCCTAAATAAAAAAATCAAGTTCTTAAAGATGAGTGTTTTTGATGTTACTTTAGCATAGGGAGGTTCCATGGGAAAGTGAACCTCAGTACAAAAATTATTTTCTTTATAAAACTAACAAACGTGTGTATAAGACATTTGTAAAAATCTTGAATCAACCAAAAAATAACAAATTAAAGCTTTAAATGCATTTTTATTAACTTTTTTACGTTTTGAAACCACGTTCTAAGTCAATTTTTTGATTGAGTTTAAAGTAGGTTGTGTTGAATGCACTGTCAAATAATTTGCGATTCATAATTTAAATGTTTGGTAAGAAAAATATATAGTAGAACTCATCTGCTTTTAATAAAATTGTGTTATATATTAAATTGTGTGACTGCTCTATCTATATTATGCGTTATTATTAACCAGTATTGGTCTTGTCCCATCCGTGACAAAAAAAGCTAAAAGTGGTTATATTTAATTACAGAAGTTGAGGTTGTGTTTCGTGTTGGTTATATAATGTTAGAAGTTCATGGCAAACATTTACCACAATTGCATTGTCGTTTCCACTGNCTAAAAGTGGTTATATTTAATTACAGAAGTTGAGGTTGTGTTTCGTGTTGGTTATATAATGTTAGAAGTTCATGGCAAATATTTACCACAATTGCATTGTCGTTTCCACTTAGTTAGATAAGAATAATTCAACAGAGAAGCATGTCCCACCCGTGAAAGCTATGTGTGGGACAGTTGTCAGAGGAACGTTTACAGGGCTGATAAGCATTGTTTGTTTGTTTAGGTGGACGCAGGGATGCGCGGATTCTTCCATTATCTATATACCCTTGTGGTCAGCTGATTAAGTTAGATTTTGACCAGTGTTGGGGTTTTTTATTTTGTTAATCTAATGTTTATAGTTTTTTTTTATAAAATTCTAGCACATTACCTAACCAAAACCAAACCAGAACCAAAAATTATAAAAATTCAGCAATCTTTAACAATTACAACCAAAAATTTTAAACTTTTTGTTCAGAATTTTATGTTATCCAGTTTTGTAGTCCATTAAGTTTAAGTAGGTAAAAGTGAAAATTTCAAGACGCTAGGAAATGGTGTTCATTTTTAATATTTTTTTTGGCTGACGGTGCTACCCATTTTCTTCTATATAAATAAGAAAAAAAGTGAGTGAATTTAACACCTACATGGCTTCTTATATTTTTTAATAACTAATCTTTATATTTGGACCACACTAAAAGCTCCTTTTCATATAAAAATTCGTACGTGTCCTACCCGTGACAAACGTTGTCCCACCCGTGACAGAGGAATTTCGGATTTTTTGTATAATAAAGCCATCCGTTTTTTGTAGTTTTTGCTTTGTTTGTGTTCCTGGTTCTTTGTTTTACTATAAGACATCAAGTTCACACAGAAAAGTGAAATAAATTCGCAGTGTTTCCGTAAAATATATCTGCTCCAAAAAGCAGGTTCTTTTTTTGTCCCACCCGTGACAGAAGAAATAAATCAGATTTTTTCATAAAAAAGTAAGCTGGAATTTTTTTCGTATTTTGTAATAACTCATATAATAGTCAATTATTTATTATTATTATTTATTTTAAATTTATCAAAATGTTGTTGAGTACTTTATACTTAAATTTAAACAAGAAAGAAATTTTTTTCTGTACAAATGTCCAACCCGTGACGGTGGAATCGCCCTATAATAAAATAAAATTGGTGTACAAATACTCGATACCGAGTAAGTATCGATGCTTTCCATCCGATACTTACTCGAGTACCGATACTTTCTGCCGATACTACAAGCGAGTAAAAGTATCGATACTTTAGTGGTATCGTTTGATCCCTAGTACGTATATTGAATTTATGTACATCTACCTTTTTACCTTCCTTTTATTAGCTCGGGATGTAACTATGTAATATTGATGCGCCTAAAAGATGCAGCGATTTATATTCTCAAGTTACATACCTGATGACAGTACGAATGGCAATTATAATAGGGAGATTTTAGTTTTTTAAACTATATATTTTGTTTTATTTGCATAATTTTAGTTTTCGGATGTATAGATGGGACACACATAGGATTGCAGAAGCCAACCCAAAATGAACATATGTACTTCAATAGGAAGGGCTTCCATAGTCCTAACGATATGATAGTAAGTTTTTCATACAAAATATTAAATATAAATCAATTGCCAATATGGAGGAGCAGCGCATGATTCTTTTGTGTGGTAAAACTCAAATCAAAGGAGGGTTATGGAAGAGCGATTTGAACGGAATAGGAATGAGAATTTGTGGCTACTTTGTTAGTTTTATATATATTTTATTCATTGAATTTTAATTTTATTTAAAATAATCTCTACTTGTACTTAAATAGGTGACTCTGGCTATCCGCTCGAACCGTGGTGCATTACACCTTATAGAAATCCACAAGATGGGTCAAGTGAGTGCGCTTTTAAGGACATACATACATTCAAGAGCGAGGTGCATTATTGAACGCACAATTGGAATATTAAAAGGTCGGTGGGGAATTTTAGTGAATGACAAAAGAGGAAAGTACGATCCTGCAAAAGTGGCTAGATTTGGAAACGGTTGTTCAGCGCAGCATTGCATAATGTATGTTTGAAATTTAAAATTAATTACAATCCCACATATCGTGAAAGTGAAAATGAAGTTGAAATAAATGTTGGGGAAGAAGGTCAACTCACCAGAGTAGGTCAAACTATAAGAGATCAAATAAAATCTTAGCTCTTATACTAAAACATTTTATGGTTTAATACCTTAAGTTTTTATGTACACACCTTTAAGGCTGAATAAAATTCATATTTATAGTATCACTTTGGTTTAATTCATTTCATGAGATCATTCGTAATAAGACGCATGATACAATAATTTTTAGAAGGTAGTTCCACTTCTTCTTCTTATCCGCCATGTTAGCTATCTGACAGAAAACGTGTTTCGTATTTTTTATTGTACCAACTTTAAAAAAAAAAATCCAGCTTTTGACGTTGGAAAAATAAATAATATTTTCGAATATTTTTTAATAATTTTCTTCATAAAAAAATAACTGCTGCTTTCGTGGATATTGCAACACACGGTGTAAGGATACAGCTATAAGAGCCACCGCAGAGTTTATCGGCCGCCTATTTAAATAATAGGGCTCGCTTGAAATATGTACATGAAGATGTATGGAGGTGCGCACACTACACCAGCTTAATCGCTCCGACCAATAAGTTGTGATGCAATGCAAAGACTAGCGAGCCCATCGGCGGCCGATAAAGTCCGTGGTGTGCGATGAATCTAATCCATTATAAACAAGAAATATTGCCGTTATATTTTCATTTTTATGATTTTTATTCATGTGATTAGCAGTGGCAAAAATTTATGTATTAAATACGTATATTTATATTAAAAATTAAGTGATCAATTATGAAACATTACATCTTTACATGTTCTGTTAAAAAATATCTAAAATAACAAGCGAAAATCCTCAAGTTCTATATCGTAGCAGTGGCCACATTGCGAGTTTGTCACAGACACGGTTTATGTCAAAAATTTTGAAGTGAAACTACCTTCTAAAAATTATTGTATCATGATAAGACGTACAGGTAATAAAAAAGTAAAAAATTCAGCAGCTGACTTAACAGAAAAAAATAAAAAATATCTAGTAAATTAAATTCCTATTCCCCAAAAGGTCACATTGTCAGATTTTAAAATGTATTACTTTCTAATATTATTTTGCAATGTTTGTAGCTCCAATCACTTTATTTCATAGTCAATCTCTTGCAGGCATTGTACTTCGGTGGTTTTCTTCCTTAATTTTAATAACCTTTCCCCAATTTTAAGCCGTCTTTCTTGAATTTCAACTTGACTTTGATTCAATTCAGACAATTTGTCAAATTTGGCGCTCATGATCTCTTGGTGCTCTGTAGTTGCTTTTAAATTTTGCTCAAGTAGAACCACTTTGGTTTCGCTTAACTCCTTTTTATTGTGCGTTCGTATGCTCGGAGTTCTACGAACAGGAGTGCAAACAGGAGGAAAGTATATCCCCAAACGATGGAACGGATTTATTACCTTCAACGCAAACCTCTAACCCAGCTAGTTCAACGAGGAGCTCCTCAGCTGAAGTTAGAATTTTTTCTTTTTGAAGCTTTATTTATTTATTTATTTATTACGGTCGTATGACCTACATATATATACACATATGACACATATATAACAAAAATTACAAAATCCACGTTTGTTCATTAAAAGTAGGGATAGCGTAATGTTAATTTTCTTATACACTTATTTTAATTTTTCTTTTAATCTAGGTGAAATATAGCTTATGCATATCGTCGCCTGGGTAAAAGATTGTCGTATGTTAATTTCGGTAGGTTGTGGGAGATCGCGATTGAAGTTTGGAATACAATTTCTCAAAAACGCGAAGATAGATTTTCTCCAAAGTCTCTGAAAGTGTTACTAGTTCACAAAACTCTTAAATTATTTAATTTTTAATGGTTATTGTTAATTATGTTTGAGTTTTTGAAGGATTTTCTTTAGTAAAATTTTGTCGTAAGCGTCATTTATCCACAATTTGGCAGCCACTTTATATCGATGGCTGAGTGGAAGATCGACCTATCTCGGCAACCAGTTCGAAAACGCTCTATCTCAGAAAGCTTTTCAAAAACGCCCTACTTCAGAATTTGATTGAAAAACGCCCTATTTCAGAATTTTATTGAAAAATACCCTATCTCAGAATTTGGTTGAATAACGCCCTATTTCATAATTCGGTTCAAAAACGCCCTATCTCAAACGAAAATACATTTGAAAATAAGCTGACATAGGGCGTTTTTGAATCGGCAGCTAAGATAGGGCGTTCTTCAACCAAATTCTGGGATAGGGCGTTTTTCAATCAAATTCTGAAGTAGCGCGTTCTTGAAAAGTTTTCTGAGATAGAGCGTTGTTGAAAATTTTTCTGAGATAGGGCGTTTTCGAACTGGCTGGCGAGATAGGTCGATCTTCCACTCAGCCATCGATATGAAATACGACATAATGTGATCAAAATTTCTACTAAATTAACGACACTTTTTACTCAATATCTCGGAAACTAAAGGAGATATACAAAAATGGAGAACGCCATTTCTAAGATATTGATTAGTTTAATATGACTGCATCACTAAGTAAATTTTTACTAAATTATCGAAAAAATTGTAGTCAATATCTCGGAAACTAAAGGAGATATCTAAAAACTGATAACACCAATCGAAAGACCTTATTTCAAAATATATAACTGCATCTAAAACTAAAAATCGTCAAAATGGCGCTTACGACAATCTTTTACCCAGGCGACGATATGTATCTAATAAATAATAAATATCTAAGGCACTCGGCACATTACGCGCCTAATCAAAGTAGAGTAATTGTTTCATCATACCGAAACGAATGCATGACGACTCGACTTCTGCACACTTGCACGCCCTGCATAAGTCACCAGCTAATAAACATTTTCTACACATAACAAATTTTTTGGCCGTTCTTTCGCAACACGCACTTCCGCAAATTATTCCGCTCCGAAATATTGCATAAACGCTTGTGGTTTAATGAAATTTGCACGAATTTTAGCACGAAATCGTTCATTTCCAATTATTTTCTATTGAATTGACAAATAAATTATATTTCCAACACAAAAAAGTAAACAAATGACGATTTCAAAACTGCAAGCGCCTTACAATGTTGGGCGCTTCGATTCATGAAGCTTTTATGATTAGGCGCAAACATGATTTTGAATCGTAATCTACAGAGCTTCATTGAAATACATGGGTTCGGCGTAAAAGCTTTATACTTTAGTATGCCGAAACGATTACACTACTGTGATTAGGAGCTTAATGTGCGGAGTGCCTAAGAGTATCATATTTTCGGAACTGTCGGAATGGACGAGATTCCGAGCAGCACAGTACATATACTGGACGTTTGAAAAGGACTAGTTTCCAAGTCGTCTCTTCTCCATACCACTTAGAGGCACGCGCTCTGAATGGACGAAATCCAGAGTCATGCTGCTGTAACGGATGGAAAGAACTAGTTTCCATGCCGAACGCTTCTGTCTCCTCATTTATGGACGGATGGAAAGGACTAGTTTCCATGCCAATCCTTGCTACCTAATAGCCAGTGTTTTGCAATAGTTAAATAGCAGCCTCCTGAAAGTGCCTGCGTTCTCACACTGTTTTATTTGCACAGGTAGCTCGTTAAAGCATTTCAACCCTTTATAGAAGATATTTTTCTTGTCAACTTCCGTTTTACATAACGGTAGCCTGAAGCTGTTGTTTTCCCTTAGTAAGTATGAATGAGTTTCAATAATATATCGTAAGTTGTCACTCTGATAATCCGGAAGCCTACCCTGCTTTATGTTAAACACGAATTTGATAGCGTGATAGAATATTTGCTGTTTAATGCTCAACCAATTTAACTCTGCGATCATATCCTGTATGGGTGTATCGTAGCGTTTGTTCAAAATAAATATCATAGGTCTATTTTGCATTTTCTGAAGTTTATCAATTTGTGTGTCATTAGCTATGAAAAAGATCGTTAGACAATATATGAAGTGCGGTTCAACTATAGATCTGTAGGCTAGGGTTTTATACCTCCTTCTTAAATACTGAAATATTCAGAAGGCTAAGTGGTTACTAAAACACGTCCGTCGTTCTCGCTATCAAATATCGAATGAATCTTTATTCCGCTAATTATTTACAAAACGGTATCCTGGGCGATCATGCCTTAAGGGCTAGACCCATAACTCTGTCACTAATGGTATAGACACAAATCACCTTATGCCTAGTTTACAATAACTTAACTTAAAGCTTAGGGCGGGTATACTAAGTACATACTCTTACAACTCGGCCGTCCTGACAAATAGAATCACCTGATTCTACGCCGTATTTATACTACCTTCGGTTTGGAATGTTGTTTCAGATTGTGAACATCTTTGCCACGTATGTTGATAGTGTGTTAGCTGAGGGCGCCATATTTCAAAGCCACGTAGTCAACCCACAGTTCTTTTATCGTTTCACAGGGCAATTCGGGCTTTGTATGGTCTGCCGCTGCTGATACGACTGCGTTTTGACTTTTCAGTTGTAGCTTAAATCTCCGAAACTCCATCTCTTTTTCCGAATGTTGCATCTTCATATTTGCTTCTTCAGACGACAAACATATAGAAGTTGGGCGGCATTCTGCATCTTTACTACACCCGCTTCCGTTAAATATTTCTGTTAGCATGCATATCTTGTTGCCTGCTTGGAGCTCATCACCATTGGGGTTCGCACTGTTGGCACCTTTGCTGTTGTTTTCGGCGCTTTTGTTTGTGCGTCTGCTGTTTGTGTCGCTGTCGTTGTTTACGGCTCTGCTTTTGTCTTCGCTGATGTCGTTGTTTTCGCCATAGCTGTTGCCTGCGCCGCCATAAATGCTTGCGCTACTGCTGTTAGCTATCAAGTTTTTATCATCTCGAACGGGACCTCTGGCTTCGAATTGTATATTGTAACTGTTGCTATAGCCTTTTCCCTTTCGAGTTCCAACCGAAAAATTTTTCGCCCCAGCCGTATTCCGCGCGTCGCAAACTATTTCCTGGTTCGTTACCAGGCGACCAAACCTTCTACTTTGCATGCACAGAACATTGTAGTTTTCTTGGAGTAACTCATGCAGCTGCTCACCATCGCCGTTACCACCGTAAGGACCGTTGCCGTTGTCAGCATTGTGGTTTCCCGTCTCAGTGTCGTTGTTCGCATCTTTGTTGTTGTTCTCACCTTTTCCTTTGCTCGCACCATTGTCGCTGTTGGACGTTGGTATAATCGCCATCAAAGTTTCGAACGGAGCATCATTGCTCGCCTTTTCAACGCTTACTGCCATTGTACCCTCTTTTTCGAACAGGGCATTTTGTAAGTTTAGGAGTTCGATCCCTTTGCCCAATAACTCGACCTTTATTTGCTTCGCTTCGAAACTATCGTTGTTGCGGCCAGACGCCGCGCCGTTATTCTCACCGCTACTCGCTCCATCGACGCCTCCGTTACTTCTGGAAAAACGGACGCCCAAAGTACCGCTACGTGCACATGTTACAATATTTTGCTCGTATGCCGCACCATCGCCGTTGTCTGCTGCATTTTTCGCACCTTCGTTACAGCCTGCACCATTGTCTTTGTTCTCGCCATTGTTCTCACCATCACTCTCGCCGTTGTTCCCTCCTGTAGTTGTCTTTCGATGTTGCTGTACGTTGACATTCCCGTTGTCTGCGCCATTGCCGAAACTTACGCCGCCTTTTTCAACAGACTTGACGTTAGCGCCCGGGCGTAATCTTCCAGCTTCTACCGCCAGTTCACTTAACCTGGCGGCCAGCAATACCCTGGCGCCGCATACGTTGACGCTCACGGCGGCGTACCATGCTTTTAGCTGCATTAGTGAATACTTTTCAGTTTTGATTACATCGTGTTCCATCTCGCGCGCCAAAATGTTAATTAACTGAACGTTTACTTCGCGATTAGATTACTTTGATTTATGATGGGTCAAAAGACCACTTCTGATGAAATATTCAGAAGGCTAAGTGGTTACTAAAACATGTCCGTCGTTCTCGCTATCAAATATCGAATGTCTCTTTATTCCGCTAATTATTTTCAAAACGGTATCCTGGGCGATCATGCCTTAAGGGCTAGACCCATAACTCTGTCACTAATGGTATAAACACAAATCACCTTATGCCTAGTTTACAATAACTTAACTTAAAGCTTAGGGCGGGTATACTAAGTACATACTCTTACAATACTAACACGATCTTTTCATACTCCTTCTTAGATACTAACACGATCTTTTAATAAGACCAATTTTTTCGCAATTTTATTTACTGTGTATTCAATGCGCTCCTCAAATTTTAACTTATCGTCGATGATTATACCTAGATACTTAATGATTTTTACGTCTTCTATTAATTCATTCCTGATTTTTAACCTATAGTTAATGTGGTCGACGTTGACTGCCCTAGATATACCCTGTGGGGAAAATCTCTATTTCTGAACTGGTGCGCTCCTAGTACATTTAGACCCAGTACTGGTTCGCGATAAATCTCTTTTGCATGCAAACAACTGGCGAATTTAACATGGCGATGTCCTAGGAAGTGTCAATTGCCCCCCGCGGCATCGCTTTTTCAATAGTTCCGAACTAGTCTAAAATTCTATAGTTCTGTACCAGTTCTAAAATCGACAGACAAAAGAAAAAAGGATAATGATTTTAGAAAATTTTTGGTTCTTCCGTGTGTGCGATTTTAAGTTATTTTGGAAGAAATGTGTTTTCAATTGGAAATTAAATTTGTTTTAATGATTGTGAGAAATGTACGTTTACAAACCTTTAGCTGTAGCTGAGTTTGCAGAGGTGCTCGCTGTTATTTCTTAGATTGCAGACGGTCCCAAGATGTTGAAATGTTAAAACAAATTTTAGTTTTGTATTACCAAGCTATGAAAAAGCATCTGCGAAGCACAGAATAGAAGCGTATTTGAACGAAAAAGCCGCCTAACACATATCTATGTAAAGTAATCCCTTACTCGATAGTTCGAACTAGTTCTAAATTCGATAAATAAGATCTAGTTCGTTCTGCATCCCTTTTTCTATAGTTCCGAACCATTTCTAAATTCGTCACTTTAGATATAGATTTCTGGTAAAAAAAAACTGAAAAAAAGTAGGTTTTTAAAAGTACTACTTTTCGCCTATTTTGGACTGGTGGGGATCTAGTTCCTATCGGCCTAGTTCCTTTTTGGCGGTGAAGACCTAGCACGAAACTAAAAATTTTATTCACTAGTCCGCGGTTTCCCTGCAGGGTAATCATAGACTTAGTTTTTGTCACATTTAGTTGGAGTTTGTTTGCGCGCAACCATTTGTATAAACAATCAAGATCTTATTGCATCTTTACCATTGCATTGGGTATGTTCTTGTCTCTAATCGTTAAGAGAGTATCGTCAGCGAACAGTTTTACCTTACAGTGTTTCAAAACTGAGTTTATATCAGTAATATATTAAAAAGTATTGGAGCTAATACCGACCCTTGTGGTAGACCTGTGGTAGAACAGCTACCTTCGCTGATAAGGATGTATCAATCAGTGTTTGTTGCTTTCGGCCTGAGAGGAAACTACGGAACCAATTAAGTTAGGAATTCTCTATACCAATATGTTCCAGTTTTTTCAACATAATATCCCTGTCAATTGTCTCGATTTATCCTGGAATTAAGGTCCTCTTTCCATTGTGATAGAACCAGGTTTAGAGCAGCTTCACATGAGTGTTTAGCCCTGAAACCTGATTGCTCCTTAATGAGTATATTATTAGACTCGATATAGTATGTTAATTGGTTTTTTACAGTCGTTTCCAATATTTTTTTCAATTTAGGGAGGGTATTTATTGGCCTTAGTTCCTCAGCTTTAATGGTATTTTTAATCTTTTTTACTGTGACTATGGTCAAAGTTTTCCATTCATTTGGTATAGTTCCTTACCGTAGGCTATTATTTACCAGCAGGGCGTAAAAGTGACCCATATATTCCACGGAATCTTTAATCACACCCTCGGTTAATATATTATTTCCACCAACTTTTGTTTTGAATTTCTTAACAATAGAGATAACATCATCTGTACTACTTTCATCAAATTTAAAAGTAGTTCGACGATTTTCCTGTCGTATCAAGTCCCCGTCAATGTTTTCTATATTTCTATTTATCTCGACGATACTATCCACAAAGAAGGTGTTTAACTTGTCGGTAGTTTCACTTCTATTTCTGTACATTTTGCCATCGATAAGCACTTCCATTATGTTTTCTTTGTTGTCAGTGCTATTGACAATATTTTTCAAATGTTTCCACATCATACGACTATAATTTCTATTTATTTCAACTTTGTCTTCCAAATATTGTATTTTTTTAGTTTTAATCATTTTCTTATACCTTTTCTTTATTTCATTATATTCTACCCAATCACCTGTGACTATTGCCTTTTGGTATAACTTGAACTTTTCCTTATTGGTTTCAGTCAGATGTCTATCATACCATTTATTTCTAATTTTAACGCGAGTTTGTACCCTAGAAGTAAGTTTATTCATACTCGAAATCAAGTACCTAAACATTATAGTTTCGTGATCCGATATTCTGTGCTCCTATGCTTTTTCCATACAACTTCTTTCGAGTTCGAGTACAACAAATCGATCAGTGTTTCAGAATATTCAGTAACCCGCGTATTAAAGTTAATTAACTGTCGCATTGCCTGTTGAGCGAAGATCTCATTGACTCTCTTGCTATATGTCGATACAATATTTAGGTTTATATCAAAATCTCCAATAATAGTATTTACCAGATTCTCGCATATTTCCGATAAAATGGCCTCGATATATGTCAAAAAATCAGCATCGCTTGCGCTAGGTGAGTGATAAACCACCCCGATTTTCCATTTGGTATCACAGTTTTTTAGCTGTATAACTATACACCAGACATTTTTATCAATCAATCTATTTAATATTATGTCTACTATGTATGGCTACTATGTGAGTCACACCTAATACACTGATATGTCGAAAACTTAATTTCTGAGTCGTTTATTTCCTCTGTTGGACATGTTTCAGAGCATAGAACTATATCCGGATTAACAGTCTCAATAAGCCTTTCGAGTTCGGTTTTATTAGCTATTATACTATTTATATTAAGATACACACACTTTAAGTGGCTGTTACGCTTTTCCCTTACGCCTAATTGCTAGCATCCTACCCTTTGGTTTTCTAGTTTCAGTTTCCTAATATAGACAGGACATTCACGACTAAATACGTTGTGCTCCACATCCAGATTCAGCCCTAACCCTTTAACAGCATAACAACAACTGCCACAAACTTGTTTTTGGTTACTCTCAGTGCAACTCTCAGGCTTGTGCTCTCCCATGCATTTGCTACACCTAAGCTTTTTGTTACAATTGTTAGAGCTATGGTTGAAGCCCAGAATCTTCTCACGGTTTGCCCATCATAGACGGGGCAACGATCCCACCCAATATTAACTCTCTTTGACTCCAATACTTGCAGGAAGAATTTATGCTCGATTTCTATCATTGCACTGAATGAAGGAAATGACTCACCACTACGCCCGGAGTTAAATATTTTTACACACCTCAAACTTGCATCATTTAAATAGCTATTCTGAGCTTTTATCTTATTTATAATCTCCGTCTCAGAGTACTCAGCGTTTATGTGCGCTACCAAAATTTTAGGCTCATTAACTTTTGGTTCGGTGACATCATACACATTAGGCTGGGTCGATTTTGTATGGGGGAAAATAAAANCTATCAACCAACATTTTTACCTCCTTGCTGTGATTTTTTAACATTTTCTCTATATCTGTCTTTTGTTCTATAATATTCATCTTGTTAGCCTCAGCAATACCTATCATTACTCTCAGAGCTTCATCCACATTAGCTATGTACATCATGCAGTTGTCACACATGAAGCGCAAAAGCGGACAGTTTTCTAGTGCCTTTAGACTGTAGTCATCAGCCGACGCACATGCCTGCGTTCTATGGTACACTTTCCCGCACACACCTTGACAACGTACATCCGACTCTCCTCTGACGCCTTTTCGGTATGTCGCGCATTCTGACATCTTTGCACTCACTCAGCAGCCGCTAAGTATGTTTGGATGAATATATGTACATACGTATGTATGTACCATCAACCCAAATGCGCGCTATTATTTGTCTATTATGCTTATTTGTATTTTATTTTTATTTCGACGAAACCAATGTCTACTTATTGGTTGAAATCGTTATGTTTCACACTTTTAATCCAGTAATGCTAGTATTAACACCACACTTTGTAATATTGTTATTTTTTAAACACCATTAGCAGAGCGATAAAAAACACGTCCGTTCGCGATCGACTTCCACTCCATATATTAAAGCTAAGTTTCTTTTTAGCATTATGTTTTTGGTCTGCACACGCCCAAAATAGATGCCACTGTGATATTATTAATAAACCATAAACCAACCTTTTTCCATAATTTCGCACTTTGTCGGCGGTCCTACAGCATTCAATTTTTTCGTCAGTTCATCCCAAAGTTTATTGGAAGTAGATTTTCCCTGGGCGGTGCTATAAAATTTTTGGCCAAATCGGTATGCTCGCTCATAAACTGAGCCATTAAATTCTTTTGTGTCGAATTCATCTTGTTGTCTTTATTAAAATAAATGTTAAAATTCTTAATAAATTTACAATAGATTGAAAATTGCTTACTTTTTAAAACTTCGCTTAAATTTAGCGCACTTACGACTGATAGTTGCTGATCAAATGACATTTCGAACGAAGAGTACGTCCAGTTACTCGTTCACGTCCGACATCATACCGAATTTCGATACAGGTCGATCGTTCACGACTGTCATAATCCGAAATTCACATTTTTAGATAACGAGTTGCTCGTTCATGACTGTGACGATTCG